AAAGGGGGGGGGGGGGTGCAGAAAGTATTAAGCTCTTCTTCTTCTGCTTTCTGCTTCATGCTTGCTTTTGAGATAGGACTTTCCCATAAAACTGCTTCACAAGAAAAAAAAAGCACCAGGGTTGTGCCTGTTCTCACATCTGGCTAGCTTCTGCTGTTTGTATATGTGGTAACCCATTGCACAGTCTATTAGTGTGGGACCTTTTTGGTCCAAGCATCTCTTTGGCATTCTTCCTATGCAAATTCTTCTTTCCAGTTCTCTTTTAGTGGAGTAAAGGAAATCTAGTTTCCCCAGTATCAAGTTGCTTGAAGGGTCTATATGGTGAGTTTCCCATTGGGTCAATGTATTCCCACTGGTATGAGACTCAGTGGGTGCATTCCTTGATGGAAAGTATGGTTGGAATGTTACTTGGAAGTGTAAGACAAGCCACCCTACTACATTATGAACCAAGTCATTCCTGGTCGTTACTGTGTTTCCTCATGATGCAGGTCTAGAATATTTTCTCCCTGCACTTGATTCTTCTGGTATTTCTCCAATATGGAATGGCTTGACGCATTGCCCCAGCCACAATACACACTTATGGTTAGGCCATTATCTTGCAGTGGTTAAACAATCATACATTCTGTCTACCTATGGGAAACTTAATTATCATCTTAAAAGTTCTCGTGAAAATATATTTTCCTTTACCACCAATATTAGGCAAAGAATATTCTCTACTTGAGATTGATGCTGTCTTCAGTTTAGTGATGCTCCACTAGGCTACCACTCTCTAATGAGTAACACATTTCATTGGTTTCCCATGCTGATGCTGTGTTTTCAGAAAGAGCTCATCTTTGTAATTTCTTTATCTGCAATGACCCGTCCATCATTAGAGAATGTCATGGCATGGTGGTTAGGGTACTCAACTTGCTATCCGCAGGTTATGGGTATGGATCACATCACCAAACATTCTCTCCCTTTCAGCTGTGGAGGGCATTATATACTAATGTTTATTCCCCATTTTTGTTGGTAAAGAGTAACCTAAAAGTTGGCAGTGGGTGGTGTTGACTATGACTAGCTGCTTTCCCTCTAGTCTGTCACTTCTAAGTTAGGGACAGCTTGCTCTTCAAGTAGCTTTGTGTGAATTTCAACAAACAAAGAAACAAAACCCTACTTCATTTTCTCAATGTGGGATTCTAGTTCCTTATTTTGCAGAGGTGAGTATATGTTTCTGAAGTTAACATTTTTCTTAACTTGAAAATGTATTTTAGATAGTTACTCACATTTCTGCACAGCCTTCCATCCTTCTTCTCCACTTCTTGCCTCATCAAGAATGAGCCTTTGTTCAACTGCTAATGCTGATGGGATTACTGCACATGGAGGATAATGTCACCCTCCTACTTGTGGAGGGCTATACTTTAATAATGATTACATCATATACTGGAGCAGTACACATTAGTAAGTGTAGGGGTTGGAGCCTCATTCAAGGCTTGTGGTGTGCACAAAAATCTTAATGGGAGTAGTGTGAGATAATAGCTCTATGTTGTGCAGAGTTGTGGGTAACTATCTGAAATACATTATCTGGAAAATAAAATGTTAACTTTTTCTTAAAGTCTACTGGTATAAACTATAGTTACCCATGCTCTGTATTGTTTACTATATATTAGGCTTTCAATTAATTTTTTGTTTGACTCAGACTCAGAAATAAGCTTTGAAGGTTTATTGGTAAATTGGTAAAATGAAACCAGTTCAAGTGTTGTACATTTATAAACACAGCCAAAGTTCAGGTCTTCCAGTTTCTAAAAAAAAAGGATCATCAGTGTTGTATACTGTATTTTTTTACATTAGGTTTAATCAAGTTAACTTGTATATTGCAAATAAAATGAGTCAGGGAACTGATAGAGATAATAATCTGTGAGGCAACTTGCCAGTCACTACAGAGACAGTATGTGAATGGTACGTAGTAACTCATTGTTGATAAATTCATAAAGACTAACATTTTCATGTGTAAAACAATACTGATAATACTTGTTATCCTGTAGTGTATTAACAACTTGATTGTCACCTTACTGAGCTCAAAAGATAAGAGAAAAAATTGTAATTGAGAAACACTTATCTCATACAAAGTTGTTTTTAAAAATCTAGGCTTAAATCTTTAATTTATACAATAAAAGCTAAAATATCATGCATATGCACACAATAAAATCTCAGGTAGTTGAGAAATCTTATGACACAGTAGTTCTTAACTACTTTGGGGTGAAGTACCAAATGAACAAAATTCAATATCTGCATATTAATGCATAAATATACCTTTTAAATAATACATTGCCTTTTAAACCTTTTCCAAAGCATAATTGAACAGAATGGTAATTTGACATGCAACTATACAGTTCAGCATTTTCACATAATATTCAAATATGTGTGTTTTTCGAGCAAAGGCACAATGGGCTATCTTCTGTGTCCACCACTTGTAATTGAACTGCGGACTTCAGTGTTGTAAGTCCGTAGACTTAACACTGTCCTACTGGGAGACAATGATATTCAAATGGATAGGCAATGAAAAATAATATTTGAGTAATATTGTTTAAAACAAAAATAAAGCTAAAAAAATAATTTTCTTATTTATTTAATCATACATGTACATGTATGAAAATATTCTACTTTTAAGACCTTTGTACATATTTGTCAGTTAGCACTATACTTATTTTTTGATATTTTTATTATTTCATTGTTTATGACAATTATATCCTTAATTAATAAAAATTATAGTAACAAACAACTTGTATTTCAAATTCTTTGGAAAAATGTAAATGAAATTTTATGGTTTGTAATATTACATGTAATAATATAACAACTACCATGGTGAGTGACTCATTAAAAGAAAGGAAAGCCCAATGGCATTTTAGAAACTGTAAATTAATATTAACTGCTGATCAGAACAAGCTATCTACTTAGAGTAAAACTAAAAATGGAATAAGTTTCAAGCAGTCTAATATTATTATTTTGTTTTTTGTAGAATTATTACAAGATATTTTCATTGAAACTTAACACAAAAAATCACAGATCTAGTAAAAGTGATAAGAGATTGTTTGAAGCGAGCACTATTTATTTAAATTCTACACAATAAGGATCTGTTTCGTGACCACTTCAGGAATCAAACTCAAAATTCTAGCTTACAGTTGAGCCATTAGGAGGCAGTAAAAATAATGCATTCATATATTTTTGTTATTTTGTAGTAGTCTTTTCAAAGGTACAAATATTTTTTTAGTTTGCATATCATTTGGAAATTTGATAATAAATAACCTAGCATCTAATGTTTTTTCTTCATAAATTCAAGTTCAACATTCAGCTTCTTGTTCAGATACTGGAATTTCATGCAAATAATTGAAACTATTTTACTGTATTTATTGTATTATTAATAAGAAAGGAATATTTCTTTAAATATTTAATTTAAATTCTGAAATCAGTTTTCTCTATTCCTAATGTGTTTTTGTTTTGATTTTCTGTTACTTTAAGGTATCTTTTTTATTAGTTTCAAATTGTATTTGAATTAAGATATTCTTTATTTTAGTCCAAAATTTTAAGAATAATTTAGAATAAGAAATGAGATGAATAACAGATCTGAACTTCTAATACTATACATTTGTTTTCAGTAGTGGGATGGTAAGGAATTAAGCACCTATATGTATTACATTTGGTTTGGAATGGATAACTATTCTAAAAGTTAGTTACATTATATGTCAGGACTGGGATGTCAAACACCTGTTGTGCTTACTGTATGTAAGGTTTGAAAAAAATTGTTTCCAGCTGATAATATCGTTAATAACTAGGGTACCCAACTTCTCAGTCACTGCATTCTAACTATTATTGGTTTTAGTTTTTTTGTGAAGTGATATATGTCACTATCTACTAATAATCAGTTTGTTATATTGAATTAGCTTCTTCAGTTTTAAGTTTCTTTTTTATTTCAAAACTACTTATATACTCGAGTTAGCTAATCTTTAATCAGAAGTTACTGATATGTAGTCAAGTTATGAGATAGTTGTCAATTCTAAGAATATTATTTGGTGTATGTCAGGAATGAAATTCAACTAAGCAATTCATTTTATTTTTCATTTATATTTTGTTATTGTCCTTGAACGTTAGGTAAATTTTCTGTATTTTTTGCAGTTAGTTTATATTACACGTAACCCAAAAGATGTTGTGGTTTCTTACTATCATTTTGCTCGAATGTTGAGAAAAACTGCTTATAAAGGGACCTTTGCCCAATTTTTTGAAAGGTTTTTACAGAATCGTCGTAAGTAATGTTTTTATTATGTATTTTTACAGTAGAATATTTCACTTACCTTGTTTTAATATTACAGTATAATTGTAATTCTAACATTTTAAAGATGTATTCATTAATTATTTTGTCTCCAACCATAAGACTGTTAGTATTTTTCTTTATTAAGGTTTTGAGAAATGGCTTCTACACCTTTCATTTTGGAAAAGAAATTTAATACTTGAAATATTGCAGGTACATGTAATCTGCAATTTATAAGAGTACCAAAGCATGTTGTATAGAAACGTTTGAATTAACTGTCAAATAAAATTTTTACGTAATTTTTCACTTTTATGTGAAAGATCTGGTTGAGCTAATGCCAAAGTTTCAAATATAATCTAACATCCTATGGCTTGGGTCTGAGAGAAAAGTTGCTTCAAAGGTACTTTGAAAAGAAGTGATACTGAATAATTGTATGTAATATTTGAAGTGGTTAACATGTAATCATTGTTTGTGTAATAGCCAAGCACAAAACATTTTGAGATAGTGTTTTTCATTTATCAAATAATCTAAAACATAGATATGTTTGAAACAAAGCATGTGTGTATTTCACCTGTGTTATCTGTGGTCTTCATTGTGAAGCTTCCATAACAAAGAAATGGGAGTTTTCTTTTTTAGCAAATATAAATGCAATTTGTTGTTGAACTATTAAAATACATTTCATAGTAATATTTGTTCCAATGAAAAGTTTACTCTTATTTTATTTTTTGCAAATATAACATATCCTGAAAGTAAAATTAAGAAATTTTTGTAAAACAAATCTTTGAGGGCATACATGATGTTAACTATATTACCAAAATTAAATTATTTGTTCCATTATGATGTTACTCACATTCTTAAAAAAATTACAAATGCTTAAAAGCACACATACTTTTAACTTTGATGAGGAACATGTCTTTACATGCCACAATGAATGATGTGAGCTGTGAAATCTCTACTTATATGGGACTAATGTATTTTTGTGCAAGAACACTAATTATCTAACAAGTGCCTTAATTCTACTGTATATGGTTGTGTTAAAAATGTAGCTTGTATTGTATGAGAGAGTAAAAACAAACTGAATTAAGTTCATAGACTTCATCTCAAAAGTGGATCAATAACTTGCCATTTAAATTGACTGGAATGACAGGAGATTTAGAAGGTTATAGACATTTGGTGAAACAGAAAATTAGGACATCAAAAAGGATGTATAAGAAAAGGTTTGCTGAAAATGTAAAAATTAACAGTAAGAATTTCTTTAAATACATTAAGGGTAAACAAAATGTTAGGATGGGGGAAAGACCCTTGAGGGATGATAAAGGAAGTCTCGTATCTGATGATTACGAGATGGCTCAGTTATTAAATTTTGCTTTTTTTCTTCGGTTTTTACTAATGAAGATTTAAGCAGTGTTATACATCTTAAACAGTTGATAGATGGAAACAAGATCAAACAAGTTGACTGCATTAATTCTGAGCTGGTTAAGAAAAAATTGGGAAGTTTAATGCTCCTGGGCCAGTTCATGTTTTCCCAAGGGTTTTGAATGAGGTTAAAGATGGGATATATAAGCCACTTTGCTACTATTTTTTCTCAGTCCTTGAATAGTGGACATGTATCAGAGGATTGAAAGTTAGCTAATATAACTCCTCTTTTCAAGAGAGGTGATAAAAATTGTCCTATAATTATAGACCTTTTATTCTTACATAATTTGTGGGAAAAGCTTTGGAAAGTATGACAAAATATACTTTCCAAAGTCATTTAACAAAGTTTAGAATTTTATTGGATGGTAAACATTGTTTCACTAAGGGAAAACCTTGCCTTACAAATCTTTTGACATGCTTTGAAAATGTCACTGCTCATGTAGATGAGGGTAAGAGTGTAGATTTGGCATATCTGTATTTTCACAAAGCATTTGACAAAGTGCCACATAAAAGGCTTGCAAAAAAATTATCTCTATAGGTGTGTGGGATAAGTTAGCAAATTGGATAGAAGAGTGGCTGGATAGATGAAACCAGAGGGTTGTTACAAATGGAGTTCAGTCCAACTGGACTAATGTCACAAGTGGGGTACCTCAGGGCTCAGTCTTAGGACCCTTACTTACTCTTTTTGATTTACATCAATGACATAGAAGAAGGAATAGTTAATAAATTACTTAAATTTACAGATGATATTAAGGTTTTGGGTGTTGGTAGCTGTGAAGGGGATGTTGCTGATTTACAAAAGGATTTAAATCAATTAGTGAGTTGGGCATATAAATGGCAAATGGGTTTTAATTATAATAAATGCAAGATAATGCATGTGGGTCATCGTAATTTAAATTATAAGTATAATTTAGATGAGATTAACCTTAAAAGTGTCATGAAAGAAAGGGATCAGTCTCTTAAGGCATTCAAGCAATGTGTTGTTGCTAGTAGTAGGACAAATAAGATTTTAGGTTGTATCTATAGAAATATTGAATACAAGTCTAAAGAAGTTATAATTTCATTGTATAGGTTACTGGTTAGGCTACATTTGGAATACTGTGTTCAGTCTTGGGCTCCTTACCTTAGGAAAGACATTGAGTTGTTGGAAAAGGTTACTAGAATGGTGCTTTGGATGGAGAGGTTCTCATACGAGGAAAGGTTGAAATCTCTCAAACTGTTTTCTCTTGAAAAAAGAAGAATTTGGAGGAATCTGATTGAGGTGTTTAAGATTGTAAAGGGAATTGATACTGTTGATGCACCATCTTTTTCCATACTTAACAGTGAGAATAGTAGAACTAGGGGACACAAAGATAAATATTGGCAGGGTAGGAGCTAAGACAGTATTATTTTTACAACAGGGCGGTTGGCCTTTGGATGTTGTGGAGGAAGTAAATTTAAGTGAGTTTAAGAAAAAGCTTGATAACTATATGAATGATAAGTGCTAGCTTTAAAATTTATTTATTAATAGTTTTAGTTTAGTTTAGAGGATGGAGCAGCTGAGATGGACCAATAGGTCCCACATTGTCCCAAAACATTATGTTATGTTTTATATATATATATATGTAAAAGATCTGAGTTTATTAAATGCTAAAGTTTCTTTGATTCAGGCATCTTGTTTGATGCTAGAACTATAGCTGATGTTAAAGTTGTTTTCATCAACAGTTCCATCACATTTTTGATCGAACTGTCTATAAATATTTGAAGAATGCTTGATCCCACATAATCTTGCTTGCATTGAGAACAAACGTATTGATAAACAATTTAGAAGTGTTGAAGTTTGTTAATTCTGAACTCTGTCTTGAAAAAATTCTCAATGCTGATTCAAAAACTACACATACTGAAATTTATAGACAGTTTGATTTCAAGATATTTTGGATTTTATTTCTTAGCACATAACTCTCTTTACCCATAATTGTAAGTCTAACATAACAAGACATTTTAGATACATCAAAACTCGATTAAAATAAGGTATTTGCTGTAATTTAAAAAATGTGTAAGTATTATCAAATAATGAAAGATAAGCCATTTTTAACCAAACACTTTTTAAATTTTCTATTTTCTTATTAGAATAATGATAGTTCTGGCAACATGATAAGCTCTATAGAGCAAGATATTTGTCAAATTATCCTAATACTTAAGAGGCATAAAAACTGTCAACTTGAGTACAATCTTGCATATACTGATTAATGATACATTGCTATTTTGAAATGATCTCTAGAGTTATTAAAATCTAGATCTAAATAAAGAAAATTTAAAATTGTGTTCATCTTCAACTGTAAATTTGTTACAATGATGTTATTTATTTAAATATTTTAAGAAAGAACTCACTTGTTCTTTTTTTCTAAAGATATCGTCATCATGATATCTGACAGGTTTGCTAGACAAGATGAGTTTTATTTTAATCCCAAAGAAACACCATCTATTTGACCATAAATGCTATTATTAAATTTAAAATTAGATTTTTTAACAGCAGAATTTTAAAGTTCAATAAAAACCGATTTATTTGGACCTTATACAGTCATTAGAAAACAAATCTGCTGGTAATTGAATTGTATATTATAAGTGATTATAACATAACATAATGTTTTGGGACAACATGGGACCTATTGGTCCATCTCGGCTGTTCCATCCACTAAACTAAGCTAATACTATTAAATACATAAATTAAAAACAAATCTTAGAGCCAGCTCTTATCATTCATATAGTTATCAAGATTTCTTTGAAACTCTCTTAAATGTACTGCCTCCACAACATCCAAAGGCAACCCATTTCAAAGGCCCAACCACCCTATAAGAAAAATAAAACTGTCTTAGCTGAAGATGACTCCTACCCTACCAAAAGTTTTATTTGTGTCTCCTAGTCCTATTATTCTCACTGTTAAGAATGAAAAAAAGATGATGCATCAACACTATCAATTCCCTTTACCATCTTAAACACCTCAATCAGATCCCCATAATTCTTCTTTTTTCAAGATAATACAATTTGAGAGATCTCATCCTCTTCTCATATGACAAACCTTCAAGTGTTTAAGGACTCAACATCAAAACTTGCAGAGCAAAATTTGTTCATCAAACCATAAATCTGCTCAGTATTTAGAGAGATATTTTTAACTGTATACTCGTTATTTTTAAATGTTTTAAGAAAATAATTAAAAAACCTGCCAGTTCTTGATTATAGTTTCTAATATTTGAAACTATTGGTGTAATCAGACAACTATTTTTATGGATTTTTTTTGATAAATCATACAAAATACTACAATGAGAACCTACCAATCTAATATCTTTAGCTACTTCATCCTTTTAATTTTAGGGGATCAAGATCCAGTTTTCTAAATTTAGGTACATCAGATATTACTGAGAATACTTTACTTATATAATCTTCTTGATTTAAAATAACTATAAATTTCTTTTGTCTGGTTTAACTATAAATGTTTCTTTATTTTGACTTAAATGATTAATTGCTTTAAAGTAGCACTGACCTTTAAAACTGGGCAAATTTACATGCTGAGGAAACACTGTTAAACACTTTTTATAACTTTCAAGTTGAGCACAAAACAAAAGTATGATGTCACAATCTCTGAAAGTACACTTTCAGTCATATATGTCATACACATAATTAATGTGGCAGGGATAAAGAAATACATAACGTAAACTGTTTTAACACCATAACTTTACTTAGTAATGATAAACACAGGTAAAAATTGATACACATAGCTTGAATTAAAAACTTTGCAAATTTCATTCAACATTAATGAGCTATGGGCAATTAATTTGAATTAATGCCTTCATTAGTGGTAATTAGACTCATAACTAGACAATTGGTAAAGATTTTTGAATTTTGAAAAATTTGAGTTATAGAAGAGTATAATATAAACAAGTGTGTTAAATTTCATGATGGTATTGGATTTAATGGTGAATTTATCATGCTAACTTATTACGAATTTATTACCATGATAACTTCACCATTAAAGTCCATACCAGCATGAAATTTAGCACACTTGCTGATATTCTTCTAAGTGTGTAAAATATTGTAATGATATCATCAAATTGTTAAATACACATTACTTTTTCTGTAGCTACATATAGTCCCTTCTGGAAACATAACTTGGAGTTCTGGGAACATCATAATGACCCAAATGTCCTTTTTCTTCATTATGAAGATCTCTACACGGTATAGTAGTAGAAATAATGAAATATGTTAGAGAACTATGATTTTGATTTGCATTCATTTTCCTTTTAGTATTTTTTTTCATCAAAATTAAGTACTTAGTAAAATAAAACAAAAAAAATGTTTTAATCCTTGTTTGTCTGATGATAATCACCATAAATTCCACTTACTTCTCTCTAATGTGAGTTGATTCTAAAACTTCAAGTTCTAAATTAAAGCTATTCATTACATATTTGTGTGTTGTATAACGTATATGAGTGCAACCATAAGTCATTATTTAATAGTGTTTTAAGTAAAGAAGATATGTTGTAGTGTTTCTAAAGGATAATATAACAACTACAACAGGACTGTGATATAAAACATTCTCTTTTTTTTTATAGAGTTAGTCAGTACTATGAGATGTTTGCATGTAGGAGTGGGCTCTGTTATCTTTTATTATATGTTAAGTAGGTACACTAGTACCTTTGGTACTTATTGCTTTAGGTTGATGTTCTCTGTAATCTTAAAAAAATTATGTTAATGTAATTAAAACTTTAGATAGATGAAGTTCATCAAAATGATGTTTTTGTACAAGATATATTCTTTGTAAACATCACTTGGTAACAATATTGGAGTAGCAGAATAGTTCTATTTTCTGTTCAAGAGATAATACTTAGTTATTGTAAACCATGATTTTTATCTTTGTTAATGATTTAACTGTGTATTAAAGTTCATTCTTTATAAAAGGTAAAAATGTTTTTTTTTATAGTCAGTTCAGAAGTTTTGATTATATGTTGATGCAGGATCCTAGAGCAGGAGTGAAAGAAATTGCCAGTTTTTTTGGAAAAATTCTGTCAGAGGAAGAAATTGAGAAAGTTATAGACCATTGTTCCTTCAATAACATGTCCAAGAACCCTTCTACCAGCCAGATAGATCAAGAAAATAGTGCTGAGAGAATTGTAGGAGAGTCAAAATTCTTTCGAAAAGGTTTGTTTGAAATAACAATTCAAGCAACTTTTCGAGATTCAGAAAAAAACTAATTAATATTAGTCTTGATATCAGTTTGATTCATGTGTAGGTGATCTGGGCCTAAGGCTAACTATATCCAGTTTTTTAAATGAGGATGAAGCAAAACATATATCTTGAGCATTCAGCAATAAATTATGTCTATAAATACCCTGAGTAAATCACTATCTAGTTAAAATAAATATTTCTTCCTTTAGTGAAAGGCAGGTAAACATTTAGTTCAACTTGATGTGGTAAGAAGTTTGCTCACCTTCTCAAAATTAAGTAATTGCGTGTGCATAATTTCTCTTTTTTTAGTTTGGAAGTCTCTATGGTTGAATATTTCACAAACAAACGAACTAAAACAAAAATGATGACTTATTTATAGAGTGTCTCTCACTCTCTATTATATTAAAGCAGGCTACAAATTTCAATGCGACAGTTTTGTGATTCAAACAAAATAATTTCATAATAATATAGTTGCTGTGATTTTTTAAAATGCTGTATTTCAAGCTGAATATGAGATACATCCAAGCATACAAACATTTCCCCTAAACTGGGTAATCACCTGTGTGTGTGTGGTGGGGGGGGGGTTTAGCATCACAAAGCTCTAAAATTGTGATAGCTAATTTATTGAAGGAGTGGATTCCACTAATGAGATTTCAAGTTCAATAAATAGTCTACTGAATTTTACTCATACAAACACAGACTTACATTATAATGTTGCTTATTACTTTCTGTTGTACGTCAATGCAGCTATTACATTATCTTACTATGTCTTACTTTGGTAAATAAGTGTTTGTAGTTATTTTTAAATCAACTTCAACACATTTCTTTTCTTCTCTTGCAGGAAAAGTTGGTGATTGGAAGAGCTACTTTACAGAAGAAATGGACCAGAGAATGAATCAGTGGATTGAGAACCATTTTAGAAAAAGTGGACTCACATTCACGTATTCCTTAGATTGATTAGTTTACATTAAAGAAGGAGAGTGTAAACTGATCTTTAGTATTCACTGTTCAGTTTGTAATCTGGGTGGATTTATTATTTGTGAATAAAAGAAATATGAAGGCCAGTGATATCGTGACCTACTGCAATTCATGAGTTGTTTTATATATATTGCAATTTGATTTTAATGGATATTTTTATATAATGTTTTATATGATTGTATACAATAAATTTTTAAGTCGTTTAAACTGCTAGGTATAAGTTACCTTTGGGTGTAACTGTTTCTATAGATATATAGCAAATCCCCACAATGCATCATACTTGAACAAATTGTAATTTGTTTATATAGCTTATTGATATTGTTATTTTGAACTGATACTTTATTTAAAAGATACAAAAGCAAACCAGATTTATATTGATGTTTTGTGTGTAAACTAAGAACAATAAATTTGTAACTGGTATATTTTCAGTTTCTGAGTTGTGTGAAATTCCTGGCAAGCAAAAGAAAAAAACTTTTCCTCAAGAAAAGTGATTACAGTGGCTAACTGACTTGGTCTTTCTGAAAATTGTAATACTGTAAAAGGGCATCTGAAGCCATATGTAGTGATTCATTTTATCAGTCTGTCGGCATTCTGTATGACAGTGAAACAAAGAGTGATTGTACTCTTATTGTCAACAATGCCTGCTTTGTTAGGACTATGTGTCATCTATCAGTTAGTATCCTGTGTAGCAATGAACCAGGAAGTGCTTATTTTCATATTGTCCACAGTGCCTGCTCTTTCAGGACTGTGTCTTATCTACCAGTCTGCTGGCATTTTGAATGAAGGAGTTCTAGTTTTCGTACTATTCACATTGTCTGCTCTGTCAGGACTGTATTATCTATAGTAATCTATAACTTAAAGCAATGTTAATGATTTGTCAGTAACAAGTCAACAGATGTAAGAAAACATCATAACAAATTACCTTTAAGATCATGAACAGGTGTACAATGATTAAAGCAGAACTGTTTTTTAATGTCAGTGATTTGTAATATATTAGTTTTCAGGAAGTTTCAATTAGAAATCATGTTTCAAATATTGGTTTCTTCAATAATCTTGCTAATAACAAAATTAGAACAAGTAACTTAAATTCTGGCAAATATTATTGTAGAAAATAATACAATAACTGTTAAAGCTGAAACAAAAAATTTTTGTGATGGTTTGAAGTCAGTTTGGCTTTGAAAATTGCTAAATATTTTTATTAAAACTAAACACTATAAAACTACATTTTATTCACCTTAAAAAGAGGCATGCTAAAAACAATTTTCTGAAGTAACTTTTTTTATCAACCTCATACTAGTCTTGTAAAATATAAAGATATTGGGACATGAAGTATTAATAGTGTTTTTGTTATAAGAAAAACAAGATAGAATGTAATGTTGAAATTTTAATTGCTTGTTGCTTTTTATTTACACTGAGTAACTTAAATGTGTTCAATATTATCTTCACATCAGTCCTTTTTTGATTAATGTTGGAAATACTGATCATGATGGAGCAGTATGTTTACTACTAGACTGTATTGGATGTTAGATTTGTTCCTTTCAGCTTCAAGTCTTTGTTTTCAATCAGAAATTCACATCTGTCTCAACTGTTGTAATATTCAAGTTTTTCTCAGCTCGCATATCAATGACTCATTAATGGAGGAGTAATAAAAATAAATCCATAGAGAAATTGCATCACTGGCAATTAATATTACAAGTTTGCAAGTAACCAAGACTGAATTTGTGAAAAGTGTTTTGAAACTAACTTTTTCTTAATTTCAATTTCACTTAATTTTTATTGATGTTTTGTCATTGTTTGTAAGTAATCCATTGTAAGTATAGCTTTGTTTGTATAAGTAATCCTTATACAAACAAAGCTATACTTTTTGATTTATTTTATTTTAGACTTCACATCTGTTGTATTTAAGCTCTTCTGAGAATGTCTACATGGTTTTCTTAAGGTCTTGTTTTGGATAGTTGTTAACAGGTTCCTAATGTTTAAATCGTGGTGCTGCTGAACATGCTGCATAATTTGAAGTGTAGGTGTGTTTTAAAAGTAACAGTCAATCACTTGATTCAGTACAAAGAGTTGGATAAAGCTCTAGTGTTGGGAGTTGTCCAAAATTTGAGGCAGCTACTTCTGTGCCATAAGTGTCTCTTATGTCATTGCATAAGGTGACAATCAGGTTTAAAATTCCAAATAACAGAAGCTTGTTGTACAGCATTGGAAACCACTACTCATTTACAGTAGTATGTTACTGTAAACAGATAAATAGTCTGAAAATATTTTATAAGATTTGTCAAGGTAATAATTAAAAAATACCTTGCTTATAAAATAATAAATTTTAACATGATTTTACCTTCAGAACAACTTAACTTTACCTGATATAATAATATACTTAAATATTTCAATCATTTGTAAAGTTGCTGATTGTGGTTTTAATATTAAGGATATATATACCAAACATTTGTTTGAAGTCTTGAATATCAAACTCAGCAAGTTTATTAGATCTTCAGAAATCAAGCATATACCAATCCATATGAAAACAGACTAAATAATTAAAAGTCAGATATTCATTTTGTCACTGTTCTTTGTTCTGTGTTTTCATACATAAGACTGTTTATCGTTCTCTTTGAGTAAATCGCTATTATTTCTTGTCAACATAAACCAAATTTGGGTTTTAGTAGTCTAGCATCTAATAATTCAAATACTTATTAATTAAAATGAATCAGAAGATACACAACACTATTACACATTCAGGATAACATAATTATCAACATAACTACCAGTAGTGATATTTTCCCAAAAGATTCCAGATATTTTTTAAGTCAACAATCTGTTATTGTAATAGTGTTAGCGTTGTACTGTTTATTAAAGCTTCCAAACCCTGGTGACTCAGTAGTACTTCTGAGGGCTTAACAACTCTAAAAAATCGGGTTTCAATACCTACAAGGGTACAGCACAGATAACTTGTGTAATTTTGTTCACAGAGCACTATATAAATGAAAATGGACTGCACACTAATTATCTTGTGCTACAACATGCCTAGGTTCTCTCGAATTGTCAGAGGAAGGATAGTTGGTCAAGCAGATGGTGGAATAAGTCAGCGACAAATTTCACAGAATTTGGGAGTCCCGCTTTCGACAGTCAACAGAATCATCAT